AGGTAATCCCTCCAGACAGTGCTCACAGAATGAATGTAGACAAGGTAAAGTCTTAGGGTTGGTATAGTGGTCAAGACACACAGGACAGGTGAGCTGTTCCTCCAGTTTGAGGAGACCAGGAGAAGAAGATGAGGATGGTTTGGTTGCCATTTCAAAAAAAGTGTGTACCTAAAGCAAGAACAAAAATAAAGAGAGATAAAGGTAGAAGACGGTAAATGAAGATAGAGCAAGAACAAATGATAAGAAAATGAAGAAGTCAGAATGAGCGAGAATGAGAGTAGCTTGGGAAAGATAGCCCTGATAACCTCTGTAGTCCTATGACCAAAGGAAGTTATGATAGTACATTCCTTTATGTAAGGTGAATTTACATTAATTTATAGTCATTATCATAATGATGAATAAATTGAAGCTACTCTCTCTTGATACAAGAACACAGTCAAAGCAATAATGAGTAGTACCATAGGATTTGTATCAAAACATAACTACTATATGCTGTATAGTAGGATTTATTTGGCAATGGAAATTTTGGCAAAATTGAGTAAAATGGTAGGTCGGCGCCTTGGCAGGTTAAATTGTGTCATCTATTATGATGTGGCAGCTAATGACAATTAATTAATAATAAATAATATACTGATAATAATGTAACCTGTAGTGAATTGTAGAGTAATGTATATAGTCATGAGTCTATATCCTTCATGCACCAACCATCCTCCTAGTAGTCTGTATTTAATGTCAACAATTAAATTAAAAGATGATAAAATAAAATTAAAAGATGATAAAATAAATCTAATACACAACAACTCGGTAATTATTCATATCACAAACATACAAGAATCCATCTTTATCAAATGCCAATTCATTAGAAAGCCTAAACTGATCAATATTACTGCCTCTACTTCCAAACTTACTAACAAACACACCATTACTAGTGAAGACTGATATACGATGATTGCTTCATTCACTAATATACACTAGACCAGTAGCTGCAGTGTCTGTTGTTATACCTATTGGACCATTAAGCTGTCCAGGGCCAGATCCTCAAGTTTATTGCCAAACTGACCCACAAACTTTCCACCCATAGAGAACTTCTGAATGTGATGATTATTGGTATCAGTAACCAGGCCCGTAGCCAGGGGGGGTGATTGGGGTGTCATGTCACCCCTCTTTTGAGTTAGTACCTTTGTTTGTTTGCTTAAATCAAACATGTATTTTTGGTATTTCATGTGCATCCAGTCCTACTTGTCACCTCCCATTTTATGTAACCCATACTTTGTCACCCCCCTTTTTGTAACCCTAGCTACGGGCCTGGTAACATACACTAATCCTTGACTGTGAATAGCAATACCACATGAAGGCCGAAACTATCCATTAGCTGATCCTTCACTACCAAATAAATGAGAGAAGGTTAGATCGGGCTTCAAGACTTCATACAAGCATATAGTGTGTACTAAAGTCCATTTGCATTCACCTGAGCCCAGGAAGTGATTACAGACCCCACCCAATAATTAACACAATGCAATAATATTAGGAAAAGTATGGCTGTACTTTCTGCATGGGCTATACAACCAACTTGAAGCTAAAGAGCTATAGCTGCTTCTTGAGTATCACAACAGATGCGGCAAAAGGAGAGGAATGCACAGGTATGTTTATTTTTACAATAGGAACTGTAAGTCAAAAGTTATTGTAAGATAACTAGGGCTCAGGTGAACACAAATGGACCTTAGTATGTGTGCCCCAAAAGGGACAAAACCACAAAAATAACCTGCTATACAGTATTTTTATTAATTTCAAGGTCAGGTTAAATTCAAAAAGTAGTCCTTTTTCTACGTGTGTGCATGTGTAATAAGCCAAAATGGATCTTTTTAAAACCATCAACCATCTGAGAGGCCTGCAGTACTATTTCTGCTATTTATCTTATTATCATCACGTCATGTTGCTAGAACTATTAATGTTACGTAAAAGAAAAAAGTGGTACTGCTGCCAGACACAGAAGCAAATATTAAGTAACGATATATATTAATGTCCTTATACTATGTAGAAAGTTTGACCAGATTTCGACTAATAGTTTTCAAATTATGGCCATTAAAAATATGATCTTCCTAATGTGTTTAGTGCATCCTTAGACATTAACTGATTATCTCCAATAATGTCATGCAATAATCAAATGATCATGTACTACAATACAGAATGCAGATATCTTAGCCTACACAATATAGTGTTTATAGTACAATATATAGAGGCATAATATCTATATAGTGCATTCAAAGGCTGCAAAATTGATACTTTCACTTTTTTAGGAAACATCTATTATGAAAATAAAAGTAAAGAACTACAAAGAAACTACAATGAAAAATACACACAAACTGCAAATAACTTATTTTAACACTATAAGCACTTTAATACTCAGATATTATTACATTATCTGACTGGCTTGATGATATTATTTGTCGAAAAAATATGT